CGCATAAAAGTCCCGTGTTATGCCGTTTTTCTGAGCTGTGTTTTCATGTTGTTCCAGACGTGGAGTTGTGTTTTGTTTCATTCACACCTTTGACAAACGAATCCTGCAAAATGAGGCGGCATTTGACGTTGTTTCCTTGTTTCCTTAATGACGTCTTTTGACTCGTCCGCTGTTTCACTAAAGACAAACATTAGAACGGTTCTGGTTTTTCACATGTAAACAGAGGCTGTGATACGTCAGAGCCACTACAACCACACGAGACTGACCAATAAGATTCAAGGAAGCATTTTTGCAGATTTTTTCCAAAGTTAATTGAAGTAGTGACTAGGGATGGGCATGATTAATCGATTAATCGATAATTGATCATTAAGAATTTCATGGATTACGTTCATTTTAATGGACAAACTGAATGTATGTGTGTGTGTCGTGACCAAACAGGTGTGTACATGTGTCTCTGCATCAGAAGGAGCGAGACACAAACAGTGGGTCAGTCTGTAACGAACCGAAGCACAAATGTGGATTTAACCAGGATTTGGACAAGAAATTCCACACTTTCCGTTGCGTTGGGACAAGTGTGAGTCCATGTGCACAGTGGATAAAGCAGCACATATGTTTCTGTGTCCAGTGGGAAAAAGTTTTTCCAGGTGAGAGTCGCTCAATGTGGATGACGAGGCCCCGCCCCCCTCCCCCGTACGCTGTCCTGGTTTTGACAAACACAAATCTGGTCACACTGACCTGTATTCACCTGAGTCATGTCTTTTAATCCAACACAAGTTGAACCACATCAGCGACACAAGAGCTGGAGTTTTATCTTCACTTAGTTTATGTAAATTAGTGATGTGGTTTTAAGTTTTGTTTCTGTGAGATTTGAACAAAACTGAATTAAACACATTATAATGTCAAACAGCTGATGTGGATCTAGAGTCGTTATGTTTATATGTCGTAAAGTTGAATTTATTTATGCAGATTAGTGCAGATAGTAATAATAATGATGATCATTTTAATATAAAAACGTTAATGATTAATCGATAATCAATTGTTAATTCTTCCAACGATCGATTATAAGAAAATTTCATCGAATGCCCGTCCCTAGTAGTGACGATTGTAGCTTCCGGAAAAAACACAAAACGAAACACGAGCAATGGAAAGATGGCGGTGCTGCGGTGCCCAGTTTTAGAAATAATGAGGAGCGGACGTATTTTATGGATAAGTTTAGAGAAAGTGACTTTTATTGATTCCAAAGTGATGATGAGGTTGATTATAAAGTGGAAAACAGCGACAGCGACGAACTTTCAGAGAGTGAAACTTCCAAAGCCGGATGCTGGTGATGCGTCTGCGATGTCCCAACAAACTGTCCAGGACTTTATACTCGATCATGAACCAAAATTGCCCCGAAATCTGAAAGTTGCTGAGACTAGTCCTTTGGAATATTTCAGTCTTTTTTTCCAAGATGAGATGCATGACAGAATCACTACAGAAACAAACACGTGGAGCTCTGCGCACGAGAAAGTGACCAAGACGACAAAAACTGGAGTCAAAAGTCCCATATTATGCTGTTTTTCTGAGTTGTGTTTTGTTTCATTCACACTTCTGACAAATAAATCCTGTCTTTCATCTAAGGAGTTCTGTTCGACCTTGTGATGTCAGGAAGTGCTCCGTGTGTTTTTAAATGTCACAAACCTTTGTTAGAATCATTGGGATGATTTCAAATGTGGAAATCTGAGAATAATAAAGTGTTATTCAAACATGTGTGAATGAAACGAAACACAACTCCAGGTACTGTGTGTTTTCAAGGAGGGAACTAAATTCTAACATGAATTAAAGCTCGAGAGAGAGAGTTTTTTGATCCAATGACCCACAGTATTCAATACTGATTAATAGACTCCATACTCAATATTGATTCCAGCACCACAATGATAATAAAAACTTTTAAACTCTTTATTTAAACGATAGAAGGTGCTTGAAAAAACTAAAATGTGTCTGTTTGCTGCAGGAGTTCCAGTCAGTGAGAACAGGTAGAGGGGCTCTTGGAAAAAAAAAGCATCAAAACTTTAGACACGAAACAAAATCCAGGCATTCTAAAAATAATGGTAAATGGTCACATTTTTCTACAGCGCTTTTCCACCTTCAAGGCACTTTACAACAAGGAACCACTCACCCATTCACACACCAGTGCACGCAGACACTGTGGGCAAGGTGGGTTAAGTGTCTTGCCCAAGGACACAACGGCAGCATTCATCTGTGGGAGCTGGAATCACACCAGCCAACCTGGATCTGACAGCTCAACCTGTGATGTTTATGTCGAGAGCTGGAATCGAACCGCCAACCTTCAGATCAGTGGGCGAATGCTCCACCAACTGAACTACTGCCGCCCATAAGTCGCATGAGGAAAAGTAAACTGTATTTTTCGGACTATAAGTTCCTCCGGAGTATAAGTAACCCCAGCCAAAAAATGAGTAAACCAGAGCAAAAATCTAAGGTTTACTGTCTAAATCAGACTTGGAGAAACTTATCCATGCATTTGTCTCCAGTAGATTAGATACTGTAATGTTCTGCTCACTGGTCTCTCCAAACGAGCTGTGAGACGCTGCAGAACATCCAGAACATCCAGAACATCCAGAACACTGCAGCTCGGGTCCTGACTCGAACTAGGAAGTACGAGCACATAAGTCCTGGTCTCAGGTCTCTGCTCTGGCTCCTGTGGCTCAGAGACTTTAAAGCAGCTCTGTTTGTACAAGTCTCTCCATGGTCGAGCACCAAAGTCCATCTGTGACATGTTAGTGTCATATGAACATCTCACACTCTGAGGAGCTCAGGGACCAACTCCTGCTGGTGCCCAGAGTCACGACTAAACAAGGGGAGTCAGAGTTTCAGGTTCATGCAGCTAAAACCTGGAACAGTCTGAACATGTGAGACAGACTCTTCTGTGACGCTGTTTAAATCCAGACTCTAAACATTTCTGTTTAACTGTGCAAATAACTGAAAGGTTTTCATTCCGCACTCTTCTCTCCAATTTATGTCTCTCTTTTTTAATTTTAATCTTCATGATTATTTATGTTTTGATTTGTTTTTATTATGATTTTAATGTATTTCTTATTCTGTAAAGCATTTTGAATTACTTTGTGTACGAATTGTGCTGTACAAATAAACTTGCCTTGCCTAAGGAAGAAGAAACAAAACATATATAAGACGTGTCCAGACGTCCCTGTTGACCCGGGACAGTCTCACTTTTGTCCCCTGTCCCAGCAGATTTATCCAAAACCACTGATTTGTCCCAGTTAGTTGGAAGCAACAGTCACGATTCTGTCCAATCAAAGATGAACTGTGAGTCGTTTCTCTGTCATGGTTCAACATCAGAGCCAGAGAGGGAGTGTGTGAGTGGGCATGTGTGTCTGAACGGGTGTGTCTAAGATGTAAATGTGTTGGGGAAAATATGGACACCCGAGAAAGTTTAATGTTTATTTTGTTCACTTATGAATACCACAAGTCATATCAGCACATAAACTACTCCAACACTTAGAACGCGGCGGTGAGAAATGTATTTTTGTCATTTTTATATGTTAAGTTGTGTAAGTGTAGAGAAAGTGTCTTGTAAAATCTCAGTTCTGGCAGTTTGACTTTACATGTTGAGGAAAAAAAAACTTCAGTCTGATGCCAAATGATGTGAAAGAAAGTTTAAATGTCACTATAAAGTTTTTAGAAGACACTTTCTCTACACTTACACAACTTAACACATCGAAATGACAAAAAGACAGTCCGCCCCGTTCACTGTGTGCGCTGACATTTTTGCTGTGACGTAAATCCAACCGACTCAATCCCGAACCAGCCCGAGTTTGTGTTTGGGAACCCTGATCTGATTGGCCGTTCCATTGCACTTTCTCGAGGTGGAGGTTGGTTTTTCTCAAAGTTCCGAGCACAAGAGAATGAACCGTAACCGTCTGAGTGGGCGTGTCTTAAAGGTTGTATGGAGGATTTTTTTTTGTTTCAAGTTGTCAGTGATAGATTATAGATGCAGTAGCCTTGTAATTATGATGACCAAAAAAAAGAGAATAAAAATTCATCAACTCTGGACGTGGTGGGGCTAAACATTTGCCAATAGATAACGACACTGCCTCGTTATCTGTGAGCTGACAGGCTGTCAATCAAACTCCCTACGTTTCTAGTGTAACTGACTTGCCTGCGCCGCCGGTACGTGGTTTACGTACGACTGTCACACAGTCCACAGACGCAAGACGCACAGACGCTGTTTACTCCACCAACGCAACAGTTCTTAGCGGCTTTTTTTGACCTATATCTTCCTCGCAGTTCGCACAAAGTTTGTTGCAATGGCGACAAGAATCCAGGAGCAGTTCACCGCAAAAGAAAGTCAATTTTTGAATTGCTGAAAGAAGAAGACAAGGGGAAAAGCAGCGAAGCCAAACTAAGGTGATTCTTGTAGATTCATTCCAGCGATGGCGCGACTGAAGCAGACGAAGGGTCTAAAGACTGAACCACTGGTCCACAAATTACTCCTGGACAGGAAACTTCTGCTTATTATGAAAACGTACTTTATTTCCAAGAGCGAGACAAACGTTTTTCAGGACACGAAAGCGATATCCTATGTCTGAAAACGTAATCTTCAAGGCAAAGAAAGAGTCCGCTTGCTGCTGCGTGTTGTAGTTAGTTCATTCGCACTGAATCTCCGCGCAACCTTCTCTGCACCCCTTTCCTGCTCCTGTCCCCGCTGCCCGATCCACTCTTCCCCCTGCTCCTCACTTCTCCGTCTTGTCTAACCAACACTGTAGTTAGTTGTTTACAAGTCACGTGCACCATCTGTAAACAAACCTGTTTCTGGCGTAAGGAGGAGGAGGGAGGAGGCGTTTCTACGTAGGAGCTGTAGGGGAGGGGAGGTGGTTTCACGCATGCGCAACATTTGAAAAAGGACAAACAGTCGCTGGATTTCTCCTTCCTTGGAAAATCCTCTATACAACCTTTAACTGTCCTGTCCTGTGCGTTTTCAGGTCTCCGCAGACTCGGGGCCGCAGTTCCAGAGTGACCCTCAGACCTTCACCATCGGGGTCCTGCCTCAGCTGCCCGGGTTCCCTCAGCTCTCCCCGGACTGCGAGCTCCAGATCACGGTACGTCCACCCGTCCTCACCACACCATCCTGACATAAAACCACAAATACTCTTTAAACTTTAGTCACTTTCAAACTTTCCTCAAAACTTTTCTGGAGTCATTACACAGTAACCCCCAATTCACACCAAAGCATTGTGAAAAGACAATAAAATACAAATGGAAAAAAAAATAAACGGCTCTTTACATTTATTCAATTCCAGGTGGGTTTACAGCTCAAAAATACCAAGAAAAACCAAAAAAAAACAAGTATTCTAACTGTGAGCGGGGTCGCCTCTCCACAGATCTGGCCTGTAACCGACCTAGTTTAGTTTCCATGAAGGCAGAAATGTTTAAAGCCATACTGTGAAACATTCCGGACAAAGCGATAACATTTCCATGGAGAAAAGCGTTTGACAGAGGCTCCGCCAGAAAAGTTACGCAATCCGCCTTTAAATTCCTTGCATCCAATTTCTTAAAGGATCTGCAATAAACATTTGTCAAAATTATTGCTTCTAAAAATCGTGGGTGGGGACAGTTTAGCTTAATTGAGGTCTGTTTTATGATCCAGAACTGTGGAATTAATTGGAAGAAAAAAAAAGAAAAAAAGTGCTTTCCAAAGTGAAGAAGTGCAAAAAGTTAAAACTACTGTATTTGATCAGAAAATGAACAGGATATAAAGCTGTTTTTGGTTGTATTTTCTTCTCATTTGCCTTGTTCTTTGTCTTGTTGTTGTTGTTTTAGGCTCTGGAGGACAGGGTCACCGAGATCACCCCCGCCGCGCTCTCTTTTGTCGATTCGGAAACGCCCAGTGACAAACTCATCTACAACATCACCAAACCTCTCCCCGCTGAACACGGTACTGAAAATATACACGAAAAATAACTTAAAGGAGACACATCAGCTTTTAAAGGGTCTGTATTACGCAAAATGGACTCTTGTTAAGTTTAAGTCATTTTCTCATCAAAAACAGACCTGGATTTGTGTTTTGTTTCATTCATCTCTGTGAAGTTTGCCCCCATCAAACGCAACACAAAAACAAAAACACAAAAACAAAAACACCTACGTGAAAATGTCAGTCTTTTGTGCTCCGTTTGTGCTGCAAAAAGTTTTGTTTGTGCGATTATGGATCTTAAGATATTAGCAGTTTTATTTAAAATGTTAAATAGCCTCAAAACAGGCAAAAAAAATTACCGTATTTTCCAGACGATTGAGCGCACCTGAATATAAGCTACATCAACAAAATTTTAACAAAATTTTAACAAAATTTTAAAATTGTACATATGTCGGCCACTCCTGAATATAAGCCGCAGACAGTGTTGAGGAGTAACAGATTACATGTACTGGAGTTATGTAATCAGAGTACAAATGATGAGTAACTGTATTCAGTTACAGTTACTGTTTCAGTGAGTGATAATTGGATTACAGTTACTTGGTCGAAATAAATGGATTAAACAGAGGGATTTTCCTGTTTTCACATTTTGGGCTAAACCAGGACTAAACCAGGACTAAATTAGGACTAAACCAGGACTAAAACCAGGACTAAATTAGGACTAAACCAGGACTAAAACAGGACTAAACCAGGACTAAACCAGGACTAAACGAGGACTAAAACAGGACTAAAACCAGGACTAAAACCGGGACTAAAACCAGGACTAAATTAGGACTAAAACCAGGACTAATACAGGACTAAAACAGGACTAAACAGGACTAAACCAGGACTAAAACCAGGACTAAATTAGGACTAAACCAGGACTAAAACCAGGACTAAAATCAGGACTAAACCAGGACTAAACCAGGACTAAAACCAGGACTAAAACTGGGACTAAAACCAGGACTAAATTAGGACTAAATTAGGACTAAACCAGGACTAAAACCAGGACTAAATTAGGACTAAACCAGGACTAAAACCAGGACTAAAACTGGGACTAAAACCAGGACTAAATTAGGACTAAACCAGGACTAAAACCAGGACTAAAACTGGGACTAAAACCAGGACTAAATTAGGACTAAATTAGGACTAAACCAGGACTAAAACCAGGACTAAAACAGGACTAAACAATATGACACTAACAGTAGGTGGACGTACTTATACATTTCTAATTTCTCATATAAAAATCATTTCTCTATCAATAATATTTTTAATTTGGTTAAGGAAAGACTGGGCTTTGTATTTTGCACAAAAAGCACAAAAATGGACAACAAAAGGACAACATTTTTGTGTCTGACCGTCTTTATTTGTTACACGACACAGCGACATGGCGCCTGTTATAGGAGCGTCTGGAACAGTGAACAGATCAGGTGTTTGAGCTGCGTTCATGAGCTGCAGTAAAGAGCAACGTTTGTTACTTCAAACCAGGTCTTGATGGGAAAATGTGCGGGACATTTGGATTATTTTTCAATGGGGAAATAAAACGCCACGATACAGAAGGTTTAACGTGACAGTACAGCTCTGGCAGTTTTGCGTCTCTACGGGAGTGAATGGAAGCGAGAGGAGGACACGCCCCCCATGCTTCCAGGTGTGGCTCCGCCTTTACCAGTTACGCTGATCACCAGACAATCCAGACACCGACAGGAGACTCAGCGCTGCGCAGCATCCGGCGTCAATGGGTCAAACTCAACACACCTTCACTAGAATTATTTGGATTGGCTAAATTTCCTAAAGGTAAAAGGAGCTCTTAACTTGAAAACTACCACTTCATGACATCACAAGGAGGAACAGAGCGTTTTGAGCTTTGGAGATGTAGACAGACTAATAATAAAGACTTACTCAAACAAGTGTGAATGAAACAAAACACAACTCCAGATCTTTTTTTGAGGAGGAAACAGCATTAGAACCTGACTTAAACCTCACAAGAGCCAGTTTTGTGTAATATAAGACCTTTAAAGGTTGTATAGAGGATTTTTTTAAGGGAAGAGAAATACAGCGACAGTCCTTGTGCGCGTTCAGAATTACTGTTGAAGTTTCCTGTCTAGAAGTAATTCAGTGACCGACGCGTCAGTTTTTAGACCCTTCGTCTGCTTCGGTCGCGCCATCGCTGGACGAGATCTCCAAGAATCACCTCAGTTTGGCTTTGCTCCTTTTCCTCTTCTCTTCTTCTTTCAGCGACCTCAAAAACGGACTTTCTTTTGCGGCGAACCGGTCGTGGATTCTCGTCCGCCGTCGCGACAAACTTTGTGCGAAATGCGAGGAAGCAACAGTTCGAAAAAGCCTCTAAGAACCGCTGCGTAAACCACGTAATCCCCCGCGCTCCGACGAGTCAGTTATACTAGGGAGTTTGATTGACAACCTAACAGCCAATAGAAAATGAGGGAGCCTCGTTTTCTATTGGCTGATGTTTATCTGGCCTCACTACGTCCACAGTTGATAGATTTTCATTATTTTTTTTTTTTTGGTCATCATAATTACAAAGCTGCTGCGTCTCTGTAATGGTATTTTAATCTTTGACTGACAGTTTGAAACAAAAAAAAAATCCTCCATACAACCTTTAAGTCCCTCCATTTTCTGCCCTTATAACCTTGTTTTTGTGTGTGTGTGTGTGTGTATGTGTGTGTGTGTGTGTGTGTGTGTGTGTTGTGTGTGTGTGTGTGTTGTGTGTGTGTGTGTGTGTGTGTGTGTGTGTGTGTGTGTGTGTGTGTGTGTGTGTGTTTGTGTGTGTGTGTGTTGTGTGTGTGTTTGTGTGTGTGTGTGTGTGTGTTGTTTGTGCGTGTGTGTTTGTAGGAGTCCTGGAGCATCGTGACAGACCTTCCTCCCACGTGTCTCAGTTCAGTCAGGCCGACGTGGACAAGGGCTTGATCATCTACAGACCTCCACACGCCCCTTCACACCTGCAGGAGCTCTACACTTACTCCTTCACTGGTGAGAAACTCTCCGTCTGACCCTCCACAGACGCCGTAGTTTGAGTTTCGACCACCGAAAGTTAACAAACAGGGGTCTTAAACAAGATTAAGTGTGGTTATCAAAAGAATCAATACCCAGATATTAACTGATAGTAATATTTGTTTGGTGTTTAGTCTTTTGAATAGTTCGAGTATAAGACCCACAGACAAATAGAGTGTGTCGTCAAACACGGGTGAATCCCGACCTCGAGTATCATATAAACCACAGGTGTCAAACATACGGCCCGGGGGCCAGATCCGGCCCTCCAAAACCTTTAATGTGGCCCTGGCTGATTTTCTACTTAAATATTTTAAGGATATTTTCTATTAAAATCTTGTTAATTTTCTGCAGTGCTGAGCATAGCAGCGTCTCTGTACGTGGCCCCTCCCACCAGAGCAGCACAAATGAAGACTTGTCTCTTTCCAAACGCTCTTAAAGGACGATCGTTTTGACTGTTGACCGTGACACCCTCATCAGAAAAATGTCCAACATGAGAAAAGTGGAGCCGAGTGCAGGATTTTACAACAAAAATTTATTTATTCCTGTTTACAGACAAGTTCATGTTAAAACTTTGTGTTGAAATTGTATTTTTCTTAAAGTTTCAGGTTGTTCATAATATTATAATATTATAATAAGAAAGAGTTCATCAATTAAAAAAAGATTTCTGTAATAGATTTGTGTGTCTCTGCACAAATATTTGAACTTATTGTTATTTTTGGGGTTTATATGACATGAGTTTTCTGATCCGGACACTTTGGGATCAAAGTCGGTTGGACACGACCCCCGGAACAAAATGAGTTTGGTCCCCAGACCGGGACCAGAGTGACTCCGAGCTTTGACTCCGAGCCTCCGGTCTGGTCCCGGTCTAGTCTCGGTCTCAGTCCTACTCTGATCTCGTTCTGGTCCCGGTCTGGTCCCGGCCTGGTCCTGGTCTGGTCTCAGTCTGGTTTCAGTCCCGCTCTGGTCCCGGACCTGGATCAGTCCTGGTTCAGTCCGTGTGCAGTGCAAAAGTCGTTATCTGTTTTTTTTTTTTCCATTTTTCATTTAAACACAAAATCGAAAACTGAAAAAAAAAACGAATCATTATCTGTTTTTTCATTTTGGTTTTGGAGACAAATAATGAAGAAAACTGTTATTTTTTTTTCCGTTTTCTTATTTTTGGTTTTATATTGAAAAACGAACGAACGAACGACACTTGGATTTTTCCGACACACTGACCTACAAACCACCGTTAAAACACTTGTGGTTTCGTTCGCGTTTGTCTCTTCGCTCGTCTTCTCTTCTCCAAACTTTCGCTCTGATGTTAAAATCGACAGTAATGGATTTAGAGCGACTTAACACGGACGCGCCGCAGATAATCCTAATCCCACATCAAAGCTCCTTTTAGTTTGACTTAATCTGGGTTTAGGCCTTCAAACCTTCAAAAGAGAAACGCTCAGATCCGCTCTCCTCCTCTCACCTGCTCGGAAAAAAAACATCGCGCTCACTGTACTTTCATATCCGTCTCATCTCATCTTTCTAACGTCTGTCTTTTGTTTTTTTTTCTTTTTTTCTCCAGGGCTGCCGGAGTCTCTCAGCATCTACTTCACAGGTAAAAGCTTTTCCCTTATTTGGAGAATTTGTTCTAAACGATGTTACTCATTTTTCGCTTTTGTAAATGATGAGAAATGTCGCGTTCGTTCGTTCGTTTTGTTTATTTCGGTGATGATTTTACATTCAGAAAGTGAAATGGGCTCAAGTTCTTTTTCTCAGAGACGGTGTTTTGTAGCTTTTACTGAGAAAGAAATATACACAATTTAAGATGTTAATTTATTATTTTGAGATCTCACTGTATGCACCAAAACACTTCAACTCTACTGGAAACACTGCAAATACTGGAAATAATCTTGGAAATATTGGAAAAATTACTGGAAATACTTGAAATAATACTGGAAATACTGACAATATTGGAAAAATACTGGAAATAATACTGGAAATATTGGGAAAAAAATAGCAATAATACTGTAAATACTGTAAATATTGGAAATAATACTGGAAATATTGGGAAAAAATTGGCAATAATACTGGAAATACTGTAAATATTGGAAATAATACTGGAAATATTGGAAAAAAAATTGGCAATAATACTGTAAATACTGTAAATATTGGAAATAATACTGGAAATACTTGAAATAATACTGGAAATACTGACAATATTGGAAAAATACTGGAAATAATACTGGAAATATTGGGAAAAAAATTGGCAATAATACTGTAAATACTGTAAATATTGGAAATAATACTGGAAATATTGGAAATAATACTGGAAATACTTAAAGTAATACTGTAAATATTGGAAAAATACTTGGGGAAAAAAAAGGAAATACTTGAAATAATACCAGAAATTGTAAATTGTGGATTTTTCCCTTTGCTGTAAAACTTTTCCCCATAATCTTTATTTTTTATGTATTATATGTATTTTTTTGTAGTTTGCCGCTCCCATGTCCTCTCCTCTCTCCCCTCTCTTTCTCCTCTCTTCTTTCTACCCCTTTACCCTCTCTCCTCTCTCTCTCTCTCTCTCCTTACTCTCCTCTCTTCCTCCTCTCACTCCTCTGTCTCTCCTCTCTTCTCTCTTTCCTCCACTCTATCTCTTCCCTTCTTTCTCCTCTCTCCCCTTTCTTCTCCCTCTCTTCTCTCCTCTCTTCTCTCTCATCTCTCTTCCCCCCCTCCCCATCTCTTCTTTCTTTTCTCCCCTCTCCCTTCTCTCTCCCTTCCCTCTCTTTCTCCTCTCTCCCTCTCTCTCTCTTTCCTCCCCCTTCTCTTATCTCTCCCCTCCCTCCTCTCTCTCTCTCCCCCTCTCTTTCTCTCCTCCTCTTCTCCCTCTCTCGCTCTCGCTTCTCTTTCCCCTCTCTCTTTCACCCCTTCATTTCCTTCTTCCCCCTCTTTTCTTTCTCCCCTTTCCCTCTCTCTCCTCCCTCTCTTCTCTTCTCTCTCCTATCTCCTCTCTTTCCTCCCATTTCTCCTCCCTCTCTTCTCTCCTCTGTCTCTCTCCTTTCTTCTCTCCTCTCTTCTCTCTTTCCTCCCCCCTCCCCTGTCTCTTCTTTCTTTTCTCCCCTCTCCCTTCCCTCTCTTTCTCCTCTCTTTCCTCCTGTTTCTCCTCCCTCTCTCCTCTCTCTCTCTCTCTTTCTCTCTCATCTCTCTTTCCTCCCCCTTCTCTTATCTCTCCCTCCCTCCCTCCCTCTCTCTCTCTCTCTCCCCTCTCTTCTTTCCTCCCATTTCTCCCCCTCTCTCCTATCTTCCCTCTCTTCTCTCCTCCTCTTCTCCCTCTCTCGCTTCTCTTTCCCCTCTCTCCTCTCTCTCCCCTCTCTTTCACCCCTTCATTTCCTTCTTCCCCCTCTTTTCTTTCTCCCCTTTCTCTCTCTCTCCTCCCTCATTCTCTCCCCTCTCTTCTCCCTCTCTCCTCTCTTTTCTCCCCTTTCTCCCCTCCCCTCTCTTTCTCCTCTTTCCTCCTGTTTCTCCTCCCTCTCTCTCTCTCTCCTTATTCTCCTCTCACTCCTCTGTCTCTCTCTCTTTCTCTCTTTCCTCCACTCTATCTCTTCCCTTCTTTCTCCTCTCTTTCCTCCCATTTCTCCTCCCTCTCTTCTCTCCTCTGTCTCTCTCCTTTCTTCTCTCTCTCTCTTTCCTCCCCCCTCCCTGTCTTTTTCTTTTCTCCCCTCTCCCTTCCCTCTTTCTCCTTTCTTTCCTCCTGTTTCTCCTCTTTCTCTCCTCCTCCTCTCTCTCTCTCATCTCTCTCTCTTTCTCCCTTTTCTCCCTCCTCTCTTCCCTCTCTTCAATCCTCCTCTTCTCCCTCTCTCGCTCTCGCTTCTCTTTCCCCCTCTCTTCTCTCTCTCCCCTCTCTTTCACCCCTTCATTTCCTTCTTCCCCCTCTTTTCTCTCTCACCCGTTTTTGTGTTCTCTATCGCTCCTCTCGTCCCTCCTCCTCTCCCTCTCTTTCTCCTCTGTCTTCTTTCTACCCGTCTCCCCTCTCTCTCTCTCTCCTTACTCTCTCTTCCTCCTCTCACTCCTCTGTCTCTCCTCTCTTCTCTCTTTCCTCCACTCTATCTCTTCCCTTCTCTCTCCTCTCTCTTCCTCCCATTTTCTCCTCTCCTCTCTTCTCTCTCATCTCTCTTTCCTCCCCCCTCCCCTGTCTCTTCTTTCTTTTCTCACCTCTCCCTTCTCTCTCCCTTCCCTCTCTTTCTCCTCTCTTTCCTCCCTCTCTCTCTCATCTCTCTTTCCTCCCATTTCTCCCCCCTCTCTCCTCTCTTCCCTCTCCTCCCTCTCTCTCCTCCCTCTCTTCTCTCCCCTTTCTCCCCTCCCCTCTTTCTCCTCTCTTTCCTCCTGTTTCTCCTCCCTCTCTTCTCCCTCTTCTCTCTCTCTCTCTCTCTTTCACCCCTTCATTTCCTTCTTCCCCCTCTCTTCTTTCTCCCCTTTCTCTCTCTCCTCCCTCATTCTCTCCTCCTCCCATCTCTCCCTCTCTCCCCTCTCTTTCCTCTCTCTTTCACCCCCCTTCTTTTCCTTCTTCCCCCTCTCTTCTCTCTCCCCCCTTTTTGTGTTCGCTCTCTCTCCCCTCTCTTCTCTCTCCCCCCTCTCTTTCTCCTCTCGTCTCTTTTCTTTCACCCTGCAGACTTCATTTCTCCCGCAGCTTTCGCCTCGTCCTTTTTTTTCAGCCCGGTTCAGACTCAGAGCTTCTCTTTTTAACGCTTTTAACACCGGCTCGAGAAGCGCGAAAACACCACACAGAGGTCACCCAAAGGTCACCCAAAGGTCATGAAAAGGTCACTCAAAGGTCATGAAAAGGTCACTCAAAGGTCAAACAGAGGTCACTCAAAGGTCAAAGGGATTTTCACACCAGCGCCGAGCCGAGTCCAGACCCGAGAAAGTCTAGAGATTTACCCAGAGAAGTGAATTTAGCAGAACTGACTGGACGTTTCTGCGCTTTTTTCCTTTTATAATTTGACTTTTCTCTGAATTTTTAAAAATCCGTTTCATCAAATTTTCCTCTGTTTTACTCTCTCGCTCGAGCGTTTGGGTTCAGTTCAGGTTCAGCGCTGAAGTTCACCGAGTTTAAACCTAAAATGCGTCTCTCTGATCTGAATCGTCTCTGAAGTCGCTGCGTCAGTCGTGAGTCGGTGCTAGTGCGGCCGCTGCAGCTCAGGGAGGGAATTCTGGAGGTTCTGAGCTTCACACGGAATCTGGGAATGAGACAAAACTAAGTCTGTGTTCAGTCTGCACCTGAAGTTCCCAAATCTCATTTTTTGTCTCTATGTTCCTGTATCTGATCTTTTATTGACTGAACCACACAGATCTGATGTTTTCAAATGTGACCCAGGACACTTAGTCTACGTTCAGACTGCAGGGTTTAACGCTCAATTCAGATTTTTTTGTGAAATCCGATGTTTTTTCGAGGTGGTTCACATTTCCAGTTAAATGTGACTTGTATGTGACTCCAGTGTGAACATTAAACGGTCCAAAAGTGTCCCACATGTGACACTGGAGACACGACGACGTCAACCGTAGCGAGCGTCTCTGTGTTTACACAAGTTCTGATCTAGTCCTGTTTTAATCCCGGTTTAATCCCGGTTTAGACCTGGTTTAGACCTGGTTTAGACCTGGTTTAGACCTGGTTTAGACCTGGTTTAGACCTGGTTTAGATCTAGTTTAGACCTAGTTTAGACCTAGTTTAGACCTGGTTTAAACCTGGTTTAGACCTGGTTCAGACCTGGGTCAGACCTGGTTTGGTTTAGACCTGGTTTAGATCTAGTTAGACCTAGTTTAGACCTAGTTTAGACCTGGTTTAGACCTGGTTTAAACCTGGTTCAGACCTGGTTTAGACCTGGTTTAGACCTGGTTCAGACCTGGTTTAGACCTGGTTTAGTCCTGGTTTAGACCTGGTTTAGACCTAGTTTAGACCTGGTTTAGACCTAGTTTAGACCTAGTTTAGACCTGGTTTTAGACCTGGTTAGACTGGTTTAGACTGGTTTAGACCTGGTTCAGACCTGGTTTAGAACCTGGAGACCTGGTTTTAGACCTTTTAGAACCTGGTTTAGACCTGGTTTAGACCTGGTTTAGTCCTAGTCCTGGTTTAGACCTGGTTTAGACCTGGTTTAGACCTAGTTTAGACCTAGTTTAGACCTGGTTTAGACCTGGTTTAGACCTGGTTCAGACCTGGTTTAGTCCTGGTTCAGACCTGGTTTAGACCTGGTTTAGACCTGGTTTAGTCCTGGTTTAGACCTGGTTTAGACCTGGTTTAGACCGTTTAGACCTGGTTTAGACCTGGTTTTAGACCTGGTTTAGACCTGGTTTAGACCTGGTTTAGACCTGGTTTAGACCTGGTTTTAGTCCTCGTTTAGACCTGGTTTAGACCTGGTTTAGTCCTGGTTTAGTGTCCGGCAATGAGTGGAATTACTGGAAAGAAAAAAAAAAAAGGGAATTGCCCAAAATGTGAAAACAGTAAAATCCCTCTGTGTAATACTTTTATTTCAAGAAAGTAACGTGTAGGTGGATGAACCGTTCACACTGAAGTCACATGTTAAAGATCAGATATGTGTCAGTTTCAGGAGCACAGATCCAAGT